TCGGGTACGGCACCTTTACCTCCTTCTCTATCGTGATGGTCTTCACCTCGTGGTGGTGATGGTTGCTGAAGTCATGTCCTCCAAAATGATGCCCTCCAAAGTCGTAACCTTCAAATCCATTATGATTTTCAAATCGCTCGATGCCTCTCTTCTTTGTAGACTTTTCTTCAGCAGACACCACAGCTATAATCAAAAGTGTTGCTAGGACCTTCATCGTTGGAACTGGGAGATGATGTGATTTTCACTGGGCACATACGTGTCTTATATACAGGCGAAGGACTCCTGTGTATCTCAATGACATAACATCCTGATGAAGAACAAAGACGCTAATCACATAACATGCTTTTAATTGGGACTGGTTATATTACCAGATACAACACTGTATTTTTGACGTTTTCTTATATTTATTTACACACAAGTGAGATGATCAATAGAATGCAACCTTCAGCACAATTGGTTTTACAGAAAAAGTGAGAACCCCTAAATTGCGTTTAAAATCAAATCTATCCAGGCATTGGATCCAGGCATTTAATCTAAAAGTTACATAATTTAATTTGAGTTTGTGTCGGTGATGATATTCTACAAGCGAAACGCTTTACTTTACAGTTTTAAATGGTTTTGACAGTAACTAAATACAAGAACTACAGTGTAACACAAATTTTAACCTCACTACACCTTTGAATTCCTTAGGGATATAGGATAAACCCTAATACTCTCCTTAGAAATGACTAGCAGAGTACCCGTCCTTCGTACGGGGTTGGCATATAAGTATCAAATGCTTATAGCAGTTATGAGTGAGGACATGGTTTAAGAAATTTCGGTTCTTTTTGAAGTTCGTTCGCTACGCTCACTCACCTTTAGGTTGGAGCTCGTTCGCTGCGCTCACTTTCCTTCAGGTTAGCTCGTTCGCTACGCTCACTTGCCTTCAGGTTAGCTCGTTCGCTACGCTCACTCGCCTCCAGGTTGAAGTTCGTTCGCTACGCTCACTCACCTTTTGGTTGCAAATTAGCTGTTGTCATAAATGTAAAAGAAATAATAGTGCTAGTGCTGCACCCTGTTGGTAATCCTTGTAACTTTAATGCTATTGAACATCACAGAACAGAACCAACTTGTTTATTGAAACAGCTGTTAAGATTCAATAATTTCATTTCTCACTAGCTGTGTGCCCGTTCTACGCACGGGGATCTCATCATAGTCAGTTAAAACCTTCTTATATACTAAAGCACAGCAGTTGGTTTGCATATTTTCAGATATGCTGACAAAACTATTCCTTCGCAAATACAGTATCTGACAGTTTCAAGCCAAAACTAATGCTTCGCAATTAAATGTCACCCGGATCTTTTTGGTCCATATGTTAAATGCAATGATTAAACTAAAAAAACTGTATCAGCATTCTTGACACATACTTTCTCCCATAAGTTTGTCAATAACCTTTGGAAATGGGATTTGTACAATTTTGTTCAGAATTTAAAGGATTATAACATAATGGTTAAAGGTATTTAAGGTACTACCTCAAACTCATAATTTAACACTTTATTCGGGTTGACATTTTCATTTTCAAGGTGCTCTTGTCCTTTCCGTGAAATACTGAGAAATAAAGGACATTAATGCGTTACCAACAGACATACACACAAAAATACAGAACTTAATTAGGGAATTTGCTACGCTTTAAGCATAAAAAAGTACATATAAAATTAGTATTTGAAATCTTTGTTAATGTCATAAAATTTTATCATAACAATTTATATTTGCTATTGCTTGGACCGGAGATGACCCGAAATTCTGTCGAAATGCTATCTGAATCGGTTTGCTATATGAAATGAAGTACAGTAGGCCTATTATAGACGATTTAGATTGGTGATTTATAGTAAAAATTACCAAAATAGACCACGAACTATTGATACGTAAACAACGTTCAAAGCGTTTGAACAATTCATGATGGTTTGCTGAATAAATGTTTTACTAAAATGCGTTATCGCTTAGCATAAACTAACAATTTGGAATCCAGACAGAAAAAGCAAAAAATATACAGTTAAGACATCAATAAATTGGATAGGCCTACGCCTGTAATAAATAAGGTGCAACACCACTAACTAATTTGTAAATTACTGTGATGTGTTGGTACGTAAAAATGATTCTTGCTGCTACCATTGACTTGCTGCTACCATTGACCGTTAAAAGGAAAAGAACCAGTACCGTACCAAAAACAACGTTTACAGTTAAGAACTGTAGTACATCCGACCAATTATATGCGTTAATCAAGGTTATTTATCTCTTGGTTTTGGATTTTCTCATAAAAAGTTATCGGCAATCAAAGTTATTTCCCATTAATTGCTTTATTTGTACACAACTCTTAATGTAAACTTATCGGTGTCAGTTTGAAAAAAAAAAAACAACCTTATACAACATAACTTTCTGTTATTTAATAGATTACGTATTCTCTAAACAATGATTGCTGGTATATCTATTAACATTATAAGGAAATGTGACAAAAATTACACAACGTTGGGTTTTTGGACGTTTGTAATTTTATTTCTTAAGTACCTAGGTAGGCCGTGTATTCTATGGAAAAGTACCGGTATCAAGGATCGTTGTCGAAAAGGTTGTTATAAAAATAATTCTGTAAGAGTACGTACCCAAGAGATGGGCTATGGGCCTATTGGCTGTATGGTCCAGCGATTGCATCACACGGTGAGTAGGAACTATTAACTATATATAGTCAATGGTAGGAACAGAAAGTGACACATTGGAAAATCGAGCTTAGCATCATCCGTAAACCTCTGTTACAATCACCCTCTGCAGTTGTGATTTTTTACTTCACACTTTACACAACCGCCATTGAAGAGTCGTCAATGAGTGGAACCTTGTTTCTAAGCTACTGGTGACGATCATTAGTAAATTTAAGTTTGCCAGCCTTATACAACACTGATTCAATATCTTCTTTCTGGTTATCAAAACTCCAGAAAAATTTTATACACAAAGAATGTCTGGTTCCTGACCTGGATGATGCCTAGTTATTTAATTCACGATTACACTATATTATTCCACTTGCGATTAATTAAATCCGTTATGTCAGAAAAACGTTTTTAATCTCACTTGGATGGGATTTGCCTTCAGAACGTGATCGGAAATGGTTGCGGTGTTTGTAAACAACATTTGTAAACATTTCAGTGACAGCTAGAAAAAATCATCTTGATCCGAACAGCTGTTCGTTATTTCATAGATGATTATGTGATAAAAATTGGACGAAAACTTGACAAAAATCGCACAAAACTGCATTTTTGAACGTCCGTAATTTTAATTACAAAGTAGTGAGGCCATATTTTAATGGCTAAAGACACTCTCTCGCCAATCCAGTGAATACATTAAAATGACTTGGGTCTTGATAGGTACTCTCGTTTTCCTGGAGAAGATTGCGTAAAATGCCATCTTGAGTGTTGCAGAAAGACAGAAAGACAGACAGACAGACAGACAGACAGACAGACAGAAATTTAGATGAGACTTGTTTCGGCTTCTTTAATGTATAAAACGTAAAAATAACCTAAAAATTTACGATTCTGAGCAATGTACAGACAAAACTCTAACTTTATTTATATAGATATAACGTACCGTCAATTTGTGTACGAACTTTTTGTGAAACGTTTGTAAAACACACACATAGAGATCCCGAATACTGATTAAAATGTGTACCCCTCTCGTAATATTGCGAAAAATGTTCCACTATAGAATAAATGACATTTACTTTAAATTCCCTAAAGAACTTTAGGATCTCGCGAATTTTGATCATAATTTTTCGTAAACCTTACAGGTGTTCACCAACCATGGTCGGTTGGTGGGTATTTAAACCGATCTAGCTGTATCTTAACACTCAAAAGCCTCTGATAGTAAATATTACAGAGGTGTTGGCGTCGTCAGTTTCGTCCATTTACATACATTTACCACTCCACTGAGTCTAACCCTCCAGTGTAATGGCCATGCAATCTAAGTGGTGTATCAGTTTTAACAAACGTCAGACATACGATGTTTTATAGTACATCGGTGTTTTTGTGTATGGTAAAATAAAACTATAAAAATGTACTTCCTTGAAAGATTTGTTGTAACTAACTCAAAAATTCAGGATAGTTTGACAAAATAAAACTAATTACTAATAAGGTTTTATCTATTAATATTTAATACACGTTGTATGCGACTTTAGATATTGTTAAATTTCATAGCTGTTTATATCATAATATAAGATAAGAATTGTTTAAGGTGATTTCACATTATTTGGATATAAACTAATATACAGTTCTTATCTTAAATTTAATCATTGGTTCAGTATGTCATTCATTGTCCTTATAGTTAGGTAGCTTAAGAATGGGAAACAACTTTCCATTGTATTTCAAACATAAAACTTTTTTTTATTCAATAAGCCGATGGGAGTATGTTACAGTATGTATTTCACAGTTCTAATCGGCTGGATTCAAGAATTGAGTTCCAAATCTCATACTTAGTAACATTTGTATTCGACCACAGAACTGCCACCCGAATGTTCGTTTACCTTCACTACATGAGTTCAATTTTTTTGATTGTTTTTGGAGACGGAAATCTTGAGTACTGTCGTGGTCACAGAAGATAATCACGGATGTTCCAACGATGTTAGTGGTAGGATTACGACGACCTTACTGAAAATAAGTTTTACACAGTTGTAAGATAAATTTTAAGTTTGGGATGAATCCTAGATTAAATAAATACTGTAATGGTAATAACTTAATTTCATATTGTATTTAAAAACAAAAAAAAACTACACTGGTACAAAATGTTTATTTCGACCATTCTCACTTCAAATTAACAATGAAGATCCTGAGGAACCAAAGTTATATAAGTTGTGGTTGAAACTGGATGAGATAACAGGAAATTGGACTGAATTGGCATGAGTAAATTACACTTTTGGCCGACATTCCATATCCTAAGAACAGATATATAATCCAGCACACGCACTGCCAGAGCACACAGCAAGGATGGCCGCTCTACTGGCAACATTGTGTCTTCTGACGCTAGCCTCCGCCGAACACTTCCATCACCACGTCCAACATCATCACGAGCACGTCAAAGCCATCACGGTGACCAAGAAGGTGCCTGTGCCGTACCCTGTCACCGTCGAGAAGAAAGTGCCTTACACCGTGGAGGTGCCAGTCGATAAACCGTACCCGGTCCACGTGCCCAAGCCGTACCCCGTCTATGTCGAGAAGAAAGTGCCGTACACGGTCAAGGAGTACGTCCCGCAGCCGTACACGGTCTACAAGAAGGAGCCGTACCCGGTCGAGGTGCCCGTCGACAAGCCGTACCCCGTCCACGTCCCTAAACCTTACCCCGTGGTCGTCGAGAAGAAAGTACCTTACACGGTGGAGAAGCACGTGCCGTACCCTGTAAAAGTGGCTGTGGACAAACCTTACCCCGTCCACGTGCCTGTCGTCAAGCATGTCCCGTACACTGTAGAGAAGAAGGTGCCTTACAAGGTAGAGGTGCCTGTGGAGAAGCCCGTACCTGTGTCTGTGCCCAAGCCTTACCCGGTCGTTGTGGAGAAGAAGGTGCCTTATACAGTAGAAAAGCCGGTGCCTTACCCCGTCAAGGTGCCTGTATATCACCATCACAACCATCGATCTGGATATGGGTTGGAACAAGAAACTCACAGTTTTGATCACAGCTTTGGCCATCAACATACCGGTCATGGATATAATTTCTGAAGTGTACATCTACAAAATATTTAAACTGTACAAACTATTTTTAAGTAAAATATAATTTGTTGTTCAAGTAAAACAGTGTGTTTAGGTTATTTCTCATGAATGATAAAATTATTTACAGTCAGAAATTGTATACTTGTGAGAGAAAAAATCATCAATTTCTTATTATTTCAATTCAAATTATATTTTAAAAGTCTCCGGTCCTAAATGAACAGTATATAGTATTAGTATTGTCTGTATATGTAACTTTTTATATTTATCTACCAAATTACGGGGTGTTTCAAAATGACTCACCCGGTTTCAACGCTTTATAACTTTTATACTATTAAACTTACCGCTATAAAATACGCATCAAACGAAAAAGCAACTCAAAGGGTTTATGCCTACCAAAGACACATTATTTAATAAAATCGATCCAGCAGAACTGTAGATTTAATTGTACAAAGTTAAAAAGTAATCCCCAACTTTTTTTAACACTAGAAATTTGGAGGTTACTTGACGTTTTTGCAAATAACTTTTAAATGGTGAGGAAATCGACCAAAGTGGAAGGTAATATTCCGAAAGAGAATAAAATTTCCTACAATCAACTCTTATGCATTTTTTGAAAACACTCAAGAAAGGTACCAAAAATTGCTTAAAAATAAAAAAAAATTAAAATCCCTGTCTTCAATGTAGATTGTAGACAATAGACATAGCAAACATTAAATTTCACACTTTTTTATTTTAAGGCAAATTTAGGCTACATTTATTAAGTATTTTAAAGAAATGCATAATAGTAGATTGTAGGAAATTTTATTCTCTTTCGGAATATTACCTTCCACTTTGGTCGATTTCCTGTTAAAAAAAGTTGGAGATTACTTTTTAACTTTGTACAATTAAATCTACAGTTCTGCTGGATCGATTTTATTAAATAATGTGTCTTTGGTAGGCACAAACTCTTTGAGTTGCTTTTTCGTTTGATGTGTATTTTATAGCGGTAAGTTTAATAGTATAAAAGTTATAAAGCGTTAAAACCGGGTGAGTCATTTTGAAACACCCGGTACGTATTGCATCTGCCATTTTCTAAGTATTGAAATCTTACTTATACTATTTTAACATCCACACATTATACATATTCCAGACGATATAATCAACTTTTAAATGTTATACAATTCATTAGGGTTGAAAATCTATTTGATCCAGTTTCTAGTAAAGATTTTATAAAATATTTTGTCTAATGACCCAACCAGAGTTAGATAATTGCCAATATAACTCTCACCAGTGAACTAGTAGCTATTTATTTTGAGTAAAGCAAAAATATCGTTTAAGCGGAGCGCGGGCCAGAAGCCTGATGGTGGTGTTTTCCGCTGCAGACTCTCATACATCTCCCGCCATGGCGCCACAGCCGTGCCTCTGTTTACATTGTTGTGTTATTGTTATAAACTGCGCTCAGTTATGGCGAAATGTTCAGAAAATATTAAATATTGGGCACACAATAAGTTATTTATTTGACTGCAGTTTTTGTCTATAAATCTAAGGTCAGGTTAAGGTTATTGCACGGATATTAGTTTGTAGATTTAGATTTTTAGTTTTTAATAAAAACTAGTTGAACCCGTGCGAATTCGCACGAATAATAAATTAGGATATTATAGCAACGTCGTTAGAAGTTGCGTCGTTGTATCGACGTTGGTCTTGAGCTCGATCGTTGGATATACGCATTCAAGGTCTTTTTGCTGTTCAGTAGGAGTATTTTGCAGGACGGAGTTCGTCATGCTGAAAACTTGCGCGTATGGATTAATATCAACCAAATGTTGAGTCAAACTGTGCATGATTTCAGTGCTGCAAGAGCCATTAGCTTTGTTTATCATTCTTTCTTGAACAGCGGTTTCGACGTCGTAGATATAAATTTGGGCATATGTGGGATGCTTACCTTCTGACGGTTGTAAGGTGCCAATTGAGTGATAAATTGTGTCGTGCACCTTATACGTGAAAGACCCTCCACCATTATGTTCTTCAATTTTAGCTCTAGTGCTGACCATTGCGAGCGCAGAGTTGTACTATCTAATGTTCTCTTTGTAGTTTCTGCTCAAATGATTTGCTCCATTAAGTAGGCTCTGGATATAATAGCTTTCTCGGTGTGGTGGTAGATTCACTTTTCCTTTATGGCAGCAGGATGAAAAACCTTCGTCTCGTCCTCTTTGTTCTTCTTTAAAATGTAGCGCACCACATTTCTGACATTTTCATGCCATCTAGCCGAGTGAATGCTGCTGAATCCTTGTATTTGTCAGTGTAATTTTGTAAATACACGTTGCCACTAACTGTTCCACTCGTTACGTGTCAATATTTCTTTGTCGTCGGGTCCTTGGCATGTTAAGACGAAAATTAAATGTAAAAATGTTCTCCCGTCGTAAAAACTGTTTACATTTCAAAACCAAACAAAACAGCTGGGATTTGTTTAACTAATGTTTTTTTTTAATATTGACATCTGTTTCAGAATATAATAACATTCAAATCAATCCCAATGTCATCCTTATGGAAGGAACTTTGAGGGCAGCCCACGCCCTTAAAAAGATATATTTCGAAAATCTAAAGCCAGTTTGCACATCTACACACCTAGACGAACATTTTGGTATATAATATGTGGGGTTAAATCTTAAAACAAAAAAGCCTTATTGTTCACAAAGTTTCATGTCGCGTATTAAATATATAGATTAAATTTGGCTTATGGCAGATTATAAAAACTGTTTCCTTTAATAAAAAAATCATGTCTGTCTTTACAACTGGGACCATTCTATACAAATCTCTTCAACGTTCACTATTGTAGTATGCCTGCCCAGTATGGCGAACTGCTTTATGAAGCTCAAATCGTAAATTGCAAACCTTTCAAAATAAAGTTTTAATTATATTCCTAAAACGTCCCTGGTATGTTCAAACCCGTCAAATGCATTTAAAACTGGGTATCAAGCCTATAGAGGATTTCACCAAGAAAACTACCTTAAAATTCTTTATAAAACTTCTACAGCATTGGATTTTATAACACAGGTTCTGAAATCCAGAGACTCCGGCTAAAACCCAGGTTGCCTCAAGATGTCTTACTATAACCCTTTTCCATTTGTGTTCCATTCTGAAGAATTCTGTGTTCCATTGATGTATGCTTTTAACAGTGTCTTGCAGTGAGACCCATAGAAACAGTGACAATAGTCTGAGGGCTAGCTATAGCTGACCCCTACATATGTGAATGTTATAATACGCTATTTTGTTTCTGTGTTATATCTGATCTGTATAGCAATGTAATGCTGATCTAATAAATTGTAAAAAAATAGATAGCCTCCATGAGAATAATAAAAGGTTAATTATTCTTAAAGTCTAAATAATTATTAATTATAATCTTATTAATTATATATATAATAACTATTCTCATGGAGGTTATCTAAATCAACTTAATATAACGATGGATCAACTTATGACAATTAACATTGATTATTTGGTTATTTTAATAGTCAAAGAATAAAGCGTCCAGTTTATGTAGATTGTGTTTACTTCATGATTTCTGAATCTAGCTTTTTTTCAACCAAATAAATTCTAATTACAAACCAAGTCTTGGTCATGTTTTATAACCTGTGAACCTAATAGCAAAGTACAAACTATAAAAATCTACCACAAAATAAGAGGAAAACTTCAACACCAGCGCTCAAACGTCACCAACATTTAACGAGTTACCTAACCCATGCTCACAGGCTTCAGAAGTTTATTTGTATCATATAAAGTCGATGACTGTAGTTAGTTTCTTAACTAAAATGAATGTAGTTCAAAAACATTAAAGATGTTCTGTAACGCCATCATAGAAAGATTCCAAAACATGGTTTGAGTTAATTTTACTTAACTTACTAAAGTTTTAATAGGTTACTGTGCAGATGAGATGTCTCAGGAATTACCGTGTAGAATTTCAGCTTTTAAAAAAAATACCTGGAGACTTTAGGTACTTCTATTATGTTTTGTATTTAGAAGAAATGTATAATAAGTTTGAAATTATTTACACGCCAAAACAAGAATAGCCTACTTGTCAAGGCAACCGGCAGTAAATAAAATTTGTGATATTGTTTCTAACCCTAAAATAAGTTGAGTGAAACTAAATGTAAATGTTACTAATGGAAACCTTTCAATCAGATCATAGCACATTTATTGCTGAAAATAAAAACGGGAGCCAACCGTAAGACTATTTTTATCAATAATAGGCTTCTCGTGTTTATTTTAAATATAAAATGAGGGTGGATTTCTAGCTATTTTTGTTCTCCGACGATTTGTAAGTTCCTCTAGAGTTTGTCCTTTTGGTTTACTGTTTACGCTCTTGAATCATAAAAAATTATCAGTTTAAATTGAAAAGATTGTCATTTCAAAACGTTTGGTAGTCAAACAATATCCAATGTATACTGAAGGTTCAGTTAATTAACTGAATATATTATTTTTTTATTCTAATGAACAAATAGAACAAAGCCAAACTACGAAACTACAATAAACGGAAGTCAGTCAGTGTAACAAATGACAACTATGTTCTAACTAAGTGCTAATCAGCCGTTGCAGTACAGAAACGTACCACTCGTAACTTAGTCTTGAACATGGCTTCTACCTGGGTGATATGGTTTACGGTTCTATTCACTTTTTATATAACAGCCGCTGTCGATGAGAGCAATTCTAGCTTTAATTCTACCAAAGTTCTTTCACGGCGAAAGAGGTACCTTACCTTTCCAGAAGGCAGCACTTTTTCTGTAAGTTTAATCTATATTTCTTACTGCAATAATGAGTTGTCTTTGTAACATCCCTAATTCACCTGTTTTACCGAACCAATTTTTCACGATTTTGGTGTAATTTTAAAGCTTATGATCTAGTGGGTGAAGGAATGTTTAGCAAAAAGGCAATATCCTTTAGAGCTTCGCCCCATATGCTTTGCTTTATTAAAAATGGTGCTGTCAAAGATCCAGTAATGCTGACCAACTTTCTTTATAACTGTTTAAGATTTTTAAAGT